GAGAAGTGAATCCAGCAGTGAATCCAGGCCCCCTGAATACTGGTGATCTCCTCCCACTACATAACACCCCAGCCCAAGGTGGGCTCAGATTTACCACCCAGGTTTTCCAGCTGGAGCTTTCCAAGCCTACTGGTTGGGCTTTGGGCCCTTCTTCCCACCTGCAAGGCTGAGGCACAGTCACTTCTCTGAGCTTGAACAGAACAGCTGTGAGGCACAGTGCTATCAGGATCCCTCCTTTGTGGTGTATCATGCAGCATCTCAACTGCAGAATCACCTTACAGGTTCTGCAAGGACCTGCCAAAACTCACCCGTCTTTTTAGGAAGAAAATTATCTTGCAAAACACCATTGCTGTCTACTGTAAAGGTAACATAGTTTTGCAAACTTCAAGCCAAGCCACAGGAATGCTCTGCGAAAGCCCTGAAATGCAGCAGGATAACACACTCCCACACATCCCTACGGTTATGTTCTGAGTGATGACCCAAATAAAGAGCTGCAGGCACTCACACTGCTGCTGCAGAGAGCTACCAGCTCCTGTGGGCATGTGCACAGAACATGACAAAGAATGTGTTTTCAGATTTCCATCCTCACACCTGCTGAAGAAGGCAGAAAAAAGACAGCATTTTACTTGGAAACATCTGGGCAACAGCTCAAAACACCAGAGCTGAAAGTTCTATTTAGAGTGTTGCTTAGACTCCAGTAAAATGCTGAGTTAGTGCTTAACATCACTTGAAATCTGGTGAGGCCCAAGAATTCACAGACCAATGCCTCTGACAGGACATCAGCCATAAACTGTCTAAAGAGCCTCTACTGAACCAAGACACTTAGAGAAAACCTCTCTGAAGACAAGATGCACAGTAAGGCTGACCATGCAGCATGTGGTGGGGGAAATGTCAAGCAAGAGACCAGCAAGTCCTTATCATGGTAGGACACAATGATTTTGAAACAGAATCCTATTTTCTGAAGAAAAAAGCCTGTAGTAAAACCCACCCTCAACACATGGGTGTTTTCACTCTGTGGAGTAGAATACCATTAAAACTTCTCAGCTGAGGTTTATTTTGAATAAAAGAAAGTCTATCTTAACATCTATATCCAAGTACTCCATGATCACCATTGAGGAGCTCTTCTGCAGTCACACCTCTGTTTGATTAGAGCACCTCTCCAAACAGAGTTAGGAAACTTCCATGGAGTTTAGATCCAGACAGAAGAGCTGAAGAGAGGCACAGAACTAAGCCACAGCCCCCTGAACTCTCCAGGGCCATGTGGTACAGCCTGTGAGATACTTGGGACACAAGTATGGAAAGGAAACAACACAAAACCAAACATGACATCTGCAACAACAGCCTCCAGCATGAAATGAGGGATGTGACATGCCCTCAATGTGTTTGCTGAGGATGGTTAACTCCTCTTCCCTGCCAGGGTGGGCACCTCCACTGCAGAGTCAGCAGTCAGAACCACGGAAATCTCACAGGGCAGCTCCAGACACAGCCCTGCCCTCTTGCTCGTGCCTCCGCTCGTCTGCCAGGAGGGGTGGAAGGAAGTCAGCTGCAAGCAGCAATGACATCCCAGTAAGATTTGACAGAGCCCAATGATTGCTAAAAAAACTTGAAGGGAAAGGAGGCTCTGGATGCACTGAGTGTACCACACCCTCCTAGTCAGGCCCCACACACACATGGGCAGTACAAGCACTACAGCTGCAAGTACCAAAATACACATCAGACCAATTTCTCTCTACAAAAGCAGTTGTGTCTGATCAGTCCAAACAGCTCTGGTAAAGGCATTAAGACAGATCTGAGAAATGTAGGTTTTCACAATCCAAGTACAAAGCAGCACAATAAACAAAGCATTCAGGGCAGACAACTGATGTTTCCCAAGGACACCAGGGCAGCAGGTACAGCCACTTGGATCAATACTTATCGATCTAAGGAAATGAAGGAGCAATCAAAGGGTGCACCAAGAGCTGTCTCACAGCATGGAGTGAACAACAGATAACTGTGATATTATGACACCGTGTCAATGACTCCTTCTTTCCAGCCAGTCAACAGAACCACTGAGTGCTTTGAACATCAGTTGTTATAGTTAGGTGGACAAGTTCTGCCTGTTTCCCACAAGACACAGTTTGCTGGTTTTCAAGGAGGATGACACATGGTCCCTTCTGATGAGAGAATCTGCTCAACAGTCAAAAACTGGAGTAGGAGAAGATGCATAGAACGGTACTTGGAGCATAGTACGGCACTACTCATAATGGAACAGGAGTGGCCACGTGTGTGTGCTCTGTGCAGGAGCAACACAGCCCGTGCGGCAGGAGGACTCTCGTAACACCCTTCACCGCCGCGTGAGTCGGGCAGGGAAACCACACGGCAGTGCTCAACGTGGGGGGCTGAGCCTCCTGTAACTCGCGCTGACGCTTAACAGCGCAGCTCGGGATCTGAACACGGCAACCCGTCCCGGGAGATGCCCAGGACCGAGGCGC